GGGTCTTGCCTCTAGCCTCTTTGCAGGGAGTTCTGCTGAAGGGTTCCATGCTGGGCCTGCGCTCTGGGTCTATTCAGGATCCCGCGGCCCCAGTCCTCTCACTCACTCGCCGGCTCTTTTTTTTTTTTGTAGTACTGGGGATTGAACTCAGGACCTTAGGCTTGCAGGCAGGCACTTATGCCCTTGAGCTATCTCCCCAGCCCTTCCTTTTTGTTTTCTAACTGTGTTCTTTGTTAGCTGTGTTAGACCCCTGGCCCTAAGTGAGACCACATGTGGCTCCCTTGATCCTAGCCCAGTGGGGTGGTGTCCACCTGTGTTAAGGGGACCCTTATGGGTCCTGCAGCACCACCCCCACCTCCCCACCCCGGCCAGCTGTTACCCTTGTGACACAGGTGCAGCCAGTGCTTCTCCTTGGAGTGCTGAGAGTGATCGTGGAAGAACTTTGGAAATAGTGTGTTCTGTGCTAGGTGGGCTTGTGATATTTTGGGGGTAAGTTTAATTTCCTGACATTCTTGGAGTTTTTGTCTGTCATGGGGATTGTGTGTGTGTGTGTGTGTGTGTGTGTGTGTGTGTGTTTTAAAATTTATTGGTACACTTTAGATATATATGTAATGATAACATTCACTATAGGGAATTGGCGCCTGTACATGATATATCTGGCTGCTTTTCCCCCCATTTCTCTCTTTTTCTTATTTACAAAAGCTTTGTTACCACTTTTTCCTTCTGTTCTCTTGTTCTGTGTTGCATCCTCCCCCACCCTTTGTTGCCTTCTCGTTTGAACATTGTCTCCATTTTCCAGTACCTGTTGCTTAGCTTGGCCCTTATTTATGCTTTTGCTTTCTCACCAGAAGCAATGTGGTATTCACTCACATGTGTCTGATTCATTTCACTTAAGAGCATGGTCTCAAGGTGCATCCGCTTACCTAGAAATGTCTCAGGCTTATCCTTCCTTGTGGCAGTGTAGTACTGTATGGTTTCAAAAAAATACATCGGGGGCTCAGGGTATAGCTCAGTAGAATAGGTGCTTGCCTGGCAAGCTCAAGGGCCTGAGTTCAAGCCCCAGCTCCACCAAAAAAAAAAAAAAAAAAAACCATCATCTTTATCCATTCACTGGTTAATGGACATTTGAGCAGTTTCCAAGATTTAAATATTACAAACCATGCTGCTATAAACATAAGTATGTGTATATCACCGTGGTATGATGCTTATAATTCTTTTGGGAAGATACCCAAAGGGGGAAGAGCTGGGTCAAGTGGGACCTCTAGTCCTAGTTTTAAAATCTTTTTTTTAAAAATGTATTGGGTTGTTGCAGTGCTGGGATTAGCCGTGTGCCACTATCAGACTGGCCTGCTCAGCTTGCCCTGGGGGCAGGGCTGGCATGGCTGCGGTACCTGGGATCGAACCTCGGGCCCTGGGCTTGCCTAAGAGAAGTGTGTATCTCAGTGCCTATTTGGGGATTGGGTCTTTAAAACTGGGGGATCTTTTATTTTTTAGTTCTTTATATATTGTAGATATTAGTCCTTCATCTGAAGAACAATTGGCAAAAGTTTTATCCTACACTGTGGAGTGTCTCTTTACTCTGCTGGTGATTTCTTTTGCTATGTAAACACTTTTTAATAAGATGAGATCCCAATTGTTGATTCCTTGTGCTATGTCCTGTGCTATCAGGGTTTTGTCCAGTCTGCCTACACCAGTGTTTTAAAGAGTTCTACCTATTCAATCTTCTACCAGGTTTAGGGTTTCTCTTTTAATATTTAGATTTTGAGCCATTTTAGTTGAGTAAATGGTGAAAGATAACGGGTCTGGTTTTTAACCTGGCATATCATGGTGAATTTTACTTCTGATGCCAAGTTAAAACCATAGAACAGGGAAACTCGAAGACATCTTCGTGTAGGCTGAGTGGTTTACTCGGGCATGTGGAGGAGCAGCTCCCCAAGTCCCTCTAGATATGCCCCATTCCCAGGGCAAACACCCCCCCCCATACACAGACACACACTGCCCACGTCGCTCGCTCACTGTCACAGTTTGCCTCTGCAGGCTTAACACCAGGCCGGGCCTGGGAGGTGTTCGCTCCCGAGTTGGCATCCAGCACAGCCTTCTCAGCCAGCCAGCGCGCACTACCACCTTCCAGCAGAGGTTTGACGCCCGGCAGAAGATCGGCCTGGCAGATGCCCGCCTCAAGCTGGGAGTCAAGGACGCCCGAGAGAAGCTATTGCAGAAAGACGCTCGGTTTCGGATCAAAGGGAAAGTGCAGGACGCCAGGGAGATGCTGAACTCACGGAAGCAGCAGAGCACAGTGCTGCAGAAGCCCCGGCAGGTGGCCGACGCCCGGGAGAAGATCAGCCTGAAGAGGAGTGCGCCCGCCGCCTACCCGAGCCCGCCAGTGGGGACCGTGACCCCCGCCCTGAAGCTCACCAAGACCATCCAGGTAGGGCTGGCTGCTGGCTGCTGGCTGCTGGCTGCTGGCTGCTGGCTGCTGGCTGCAGGCCTAGCAAGACGGGAAGAAAGGCAGGAGGGTCAGGTGGGAAGCTGTGTGCTGTAGATGGGGTGGTGGTACCGCAGTGTGTGCGGGTCAGAACTGGCTGCTGGTCCTGTGCTCCGGCTGCCCTCCCTGTCCCCAGCTCAGAGGAGACAGACCACCTCACTTTATCTCTGCAGCCTCTTGGTAGTGGGGCCCTGACTGAGCCACATGGGCTTGGGCATGTAGCAGACATCTGCACTCTGTGGCCACCACAGGCCACGTGTGTGAGCCCTGGGCAGACCGGTGACCACTGAATGTTTCCAGGTTCCACAGCAGAAGGCTGCGGTGCCGCTGCATGCCCATCCTGCTGGAATGAGGATCAACGTTGTCAACAACCACCAGGCCAAACAGGTGTGTGTGTGTGTGTGTGCGCGCGCGCGCGTGCGCATACGCATGCATGTGCACACGCATTGGACCTAACCTAAGACTCTTAGCTCCAAGGGAGAAATTACATTACTTGCTTTTTTTGTTTTATTTTTTTTAGTACTGGGAATCGAACTCAAGACTTTAGTTTGCCAGGCAGGTGTTATGCCACTGAGCAGGAATTACATTTGACATTTTACAATTGATGAGTTTTAAAAAGAAACTTTTTCAGGGGGCCTGTCGGTTAGCTTAGTTGTTTAAGCACCTGCTTTTGCAAACACAGGCACAGGATAGCACAGTTTGATCCCCAGCCCCACATGCCTTACCATTCCGCCCTTAAGGCAACCTGAGCCAGCCAAAAAGAAAAAAAGAAAACTTTTTTAATGGGGAAGGGGATGCATAGCAGACAGTCAAATTACATGTTTTTCTCAGCAGTGGAATTGAACCCAGGAGCACTCTGCTGCTGAGCTATATCTGCAGCCTTTTTTATTTTGAGGTGTGAAATACTCTGCCACTACCCGATTATTAAGGTTTTTTATTATAAAAATGTCAAATATTTGATGTAGAAAAGAGGAAGAGGATAACCAAACATGATCGTCCATACTTATAGTCCTGGCACTCTGGAGGATGAGGCAGGAGGCTCCCAGCTCTGAGCCTAGCCTGGGGAGTTGGATAAACCCACTCTCAAAATTGCAGATAAAAAGATGGGTCCAACTCAGTGCAGAGGCCTAGGCCTCATGAAGGGATTCTTTTTTTTTTTTTTTTTTTTGGCAGAACCAGGGATTGAATTCAGGCCCCTGTGCTTGCTAGGCAAGCGCTTATTCCACTCAGCCATCTTCCCAGCCCAGGAAAACATTCTTCTTGTGGGTGTTCTTCAGAGCCAGCTGTTGTTGTGATTTTGCCTTTGTGTCATTCTAATTTGGGAGTGAGATTTGTTTTGTTTGGGGTCTTGGGGGTAAACTCGGAGCCCTGTGTTAACCCTACCTCTCTAGCCTCAGCCCCTGCCTCCAGTCTTTTTCTCAAAAATATATATATTTTTTTGATTTATTTTTTTATTATTGTATTTTTAGGGAAGAGTCTACAGGGTGTCCAGGGTCTCACTACTAGATCAGACTTGTAGTGATCTGCCTGTTTATAGCCTCCCAAGAGCTGGGAATACAGGCGTGCGCTGCCACACCCAGTCTCAGTCGCCCTGCACCTGCTTGCAGGTGTTTTAATCTGCTGAGCTATTTGATGAGCCCTTCTTTTTCTCACATTGAGAAGCAGAGGTCTTGCTGAGTTGGCCAGGCTCTGAGCTCAGGCATACCCAAGAGCCCCAGTCCAGGGCCTGATTGCCCAAACAGTCTCTTCCTCAGCTGGCACAGGGAAATCCAGACTCAGGGTTCTACAAATTTCTATTCCCAAGCCAAACAAATTGTAGCTCTCCCACTTTAGAGGTAGAATTAGCCTGTAGAGTTAGAAAGGTCCCTGCATGGCCCACCTTCCTCTTCCTTCCCTCCTTGGGGCAGCACAAAGAGCCTCATAGTTCCCTTCTTCTGGCTCTCTGGGTGCATGCCCACTGGCTGGGATACTTTCAGGGTTCCTTAGGAGTGGCATGGCTTGAAGGAGATTCAGGGCACCTTTCCTCAGTGAGATTTAATGTCCAGAAAGAGCTTTAAATCAAGAATACTTGTGGTAGAGGTGAGTGTGGGGAAGGGTGGAAACAGTTTGGGCTTATGCTTTTTGTAAGGCTGGGTCCATGTTTTGTGTGTGTGTGTGGGGGGTGTCTCACTATATGTATCTTGGACTCATAGTGATCCTCCTATATAGTGATCCTCCTGTTTCAGCCTCCCCAGTGCTGGGATTACAGGCATGTGCCACTGTGCACAGTTTTGATGGTGGGCATGTTATACCCAGAATCCAACCTGGGCCCTTGTGCTTGCCGGGCAGGCATTCAGCCTGATGAGCTGTCTCCCCGGCCACTCATATTTTGTTTGGTTTTTGTTTCTGTCTTTTTGAGACAGGGTCTCGCTATGCAATTCAGGCTGGCCTTGAACTCACTTTGTAGCCCAGGCTGGCCTTGAACTCATAACAGTCTTCCTGCCTCAGTCTCCTGAGTGCTGGGATTGCAGGTATGTGCTACCACACCTGCCCCCACCCCATTTTTAGCTCCACGTTTTGGGCCTGCCCTCCCTCTTGGGGAAGGGCCAGGTGGGCTCTGCAGAAAGCTAACTCCCAACAGGGCAGGTCGAGTGAGGAGGTGGGTGCGCAGTCAGGGAACACCAGCATTCCGCTTGCCCCGGCACTCCTCTTCCCCTTTGGAGGCAGTTCCCTGGCCGAGGGCAGGCGCGTCCTTGAGGGCTTACATGCGGCCCTGGCACTGTCCGTCCAGCCAAATCCCAGGGCATCTCGAGCCTGATCCGACTCCCGCAGCGGCAGGCTGCTCGGTGTTCATGTTTAGCGAAATGGTATAGCTTTCGTCCACATGCTGCGTGCTCTTGTGCAGGTGGGGAGAAGTCAGTGTAGGTGAAGACGGCAGTTCCTAGTGACAGGTGTGTGAAGTGTGAAGAAATGCGTGCAGCTCTTAGCCCTTTGTTGACCACTGGAGCACTTTTTATTAGTATTTTTGTTTGTATGTAAAGGAACCATGACTCCATAGCTGTACGTATAAAACTTTTCTCCTAATGAGACACTAATGCGCCTGTATTTTTCTTTTCTTCTTGTCAAAGCAAGAAGTAAATATTTCAGAATGGTTAAAATATAAATAAAGGGCCCGGGGAGATGGGTCAGTAGGATAAGTGCTTGACTGGCAAAC